GTGAAATTTTGCTTTAACATACCAATTTCTTTAGTCACTTAGTTTTTTACTATAACTGTGAACACTGACAGGACCTTAGTTAAATACTTACCCATTATATTCGTTCAGTGGTGGCCCCAGGGGGTCTGATAAGGTGGGCCAAACTCAGGGCGACTAGACCCTCGGTCAGAGTCCTGGAATAAACTTCCCTGGGTTTAGGGGAGAGTTTCTTTTTAGCTTTATATGGCCCAAGATTTTGCTTTTAAGCCAAAATATTAGGGATTGGCAATCAAAATAATGTTATATGGATAAGCAAATCATTATTTATGGTGTGGCAACCTTGTCGAGGCACCGGACGATGGGAGTCTACGCCTGTCAGACGGGAATTCCCCACCTCCCAAGCAAATTTGGAATGATGACGTCAACACACCGAATTTCAAGACTACGCCAATCAAAATTAAGGGAAATGTTTACCTATTTAAATTTAATCTTTCTACACTACATTTTTCTTCATCATCATTAGTATACTATTATGTTGTTACTCTATAATATTATTAATATAGTATATCATTATTCTTATGCGTTTAAAATTCACAATTATATATTTCACATTACTATTAGCGTTAGTACTGTGATTCTTAATATACTGATGTCATTAAATTATTAATATCATCATCATCTTCCTTATTGTCATCCCCATCCTCAGTATATTCCCCATTATAAGGAGGATGTTGATGATGATGAGGAGAAGAAAGATGATGAGGATGATGGTGAGGAAGAAGATGATGGTGATTACGATTGATGATAATCGCTGTTGATGGTAATCATTGTGATGATGGTGATGAGAATGATAGAAAATGATTGATAAGAATGATGATGAATGATGAGAATCATCCCTCTCATCCTCACCTTTGTCCTTATCTTCATTCTCGTCATCCTCATCTTCATCATTCAGATGATGATGGTAGTGACTGATGATGAAGAGGATAATGATGAAAATGATGATGGTGATGATGACGATGATGATGATAATGAGGATGATGGTAATGATGATTATGATTATGGTGATTAAGATAAGAATGAGGAGGATGAGGATGATGCGACTGATGAGGAGAAGGAAGATGATGAGGTAGATGATGATTGATGATGGATGATGATGAGGAAGAAAATGATGCTGATAAGGATGGTGAGGATAATGATGATAATAAGGAGAAGGATTAGGATGATGAGTTTGATGATGATGAAAATAAGGATGATGATTATGATTGATGATAATGGTCGTTGATGAGGGTGATCGTGATAATGATGAGGATGATATATGAGAATGATGTTGATGAGGTTAATGATGACGAATGATGAGAAACATCCCGTCTGCCCCTCATCTTCATTTTTGTCGTCCTCATCCTCTTCATTATCATCCTCATGATGAGGATGATGATTGATAATGATGATTAATAAGGATTATGATGATGTGGTTGATGATGAGGACAAGGATGATGATGGATGATGATGATAAATGATGATTGTAATGAGGATGATGATGAGGATGATAATGACAATGATGATGATAATGAGGACTACGATGATGAATGAGTGATGATGATAAATAGGATGAGGTTAATGATGATGAGAATAAGGATGATGATGGATGAGAATGATTAGTAGGATGAAGGTGATGGTGATGATGTTAACAATGATTGATGAGGATGGTGATGAGGGTAACGATGATGGATGAGGATCAATGCCATGGCCAGGTTTTTCAAACGGTGTGGGACAATATCAGAGCGGACCCACTTTACGTGTAAATTCCAACAATGTGGACCATCTTACGCAAAAATATGAAATATCTGGACCCATTTTCTTAAATTTTACTCATATTTAACTAAATATAAGGTATCTGGATCCATTTTATGCATAAAATTACATAATTTGGAACCTTCTTTAAAATGTGGACCATTTTTTGTGGACCTATTGGAAAAATAGTGTGTGGGACTGTCCCAACTGTGCCAATAGCTGGCTATGCCATTGATGATGATGAGGATGATGGATATGGATTAATATGATGATGAAGAAAATGAAGAATGAGGAGGATGAAGATTATGAGGATGATGATAACGACGATAGATGATTGATAAGGACGTGATGAAGATGAGGACGATGAAGATGGATGAGTATGATGTGATGATGATGGTGATGATTACAATGATCGATGATAGTAAGGATGATTATAATGATTAGACAACAATGATAATGATGATGACGATGACGAATAGGATGAGGATGATGATGACGGATGATGATAATACTGGAATAATATCAATATTGGTAATAAAAATATTATAAATAATATTATTATATAACAGTACTAACAATGTAATTCATTCTAATATTAAAATATAATTTTGAAATAACAGAAATACAATACAGTAATATATACATAATATTATTAATTCTAGATGTGTATAAGAGACAGTTTATATATATTCTATATGTGATTGCTTTGATGAGATTTTATTTAGTACAATAATAATAATAATAATAATAATAATAATAATAATAATAATAATAATAATATAATCTTACAAAAATAACCATTTTCTCCGCCAAGATGAACACCATCTTGGAAATTGGCGTTATGATCATTTCAATTAAAATTGATAAAGACAGTAAATAGTAACTAATTAACTAGTTTATTGTCAATTTTCACATTTATAGCAAAACTAGGTAAATAATATAATGCCATAGATTTTTTTATTTTCCCCGATATAAATTGAATTGTTGGGCCTTTCAGAGCAAA